CTAATAGATAAGAGAGTATTACAAAACAAGAGATGACTGCAGCCATACAATTAATTTTGGTAAAGAGCAAGCTAAACAGGGGTTCCATGCCGGGCAGGCCTGTCCACTGAGGACTTAAAAAATTTGACTTATCCTTTAAGAGGGATTTGCACTAAGGAATATTTCTCTGGGAGTAAAGATGGCTACTTACCGCAATTAATCATCTTTCTTGGGGGTTTTAAACATAGTTGAATGACTTTGCAGGGCACTGATGTATTTTAAATTAAAAGAATATTAACTTTTAGTAAAACTGATCGTTACCATTATACTCTGAAGAGCAAAATTTTCCCGTGTTCCACTGTTTTGCCCTTGTTGCCAATGCTTCTACCATGTTCAGGTTTTCATCGGCGGCAAATGGTCTTCCCCAGAATCTGAACAAGAAGTCCCTTTGGGTAGCGAAAGACTAGGTCCCAAGAAAGATAACAAAGAGAGATTGCTGGATTTATACCAAGGTTTCTCACCGTTAGTACCGCAGATAATAATTTCTGCAAATGTCTGAGCAAAGGTGCTCCCCAGAACCACCATCTCTAGTGTTGTTATTGTCTCATCTCTCCACTTTGTTGATTTTTTTTCCTCTGAACTATGCCAAAAGGCTAAGCTACTAATGAGATTAGGGGAAGAACAGAAAGCTCCCACCCACCAATGCTTAAACAGGATACATGTCTTTAGGCCAGCTGGTCTTCAGGAGGTGAACGTGGGGAGAAGGCCTAATCTGAATACTCAGATCCAGTTGGCATCCATAATTTGGAGCTACAGAGTGCATCCTTTTGGATTTTGATGAACTGTCCTGGGAATCTGGTCTAAATGTCTTGTTTTGAATTTGAATTACTATTTAATATAAATCTCATTGTCATTTTTGTTAGGTTTAAAAAACTGATCTTGCTCTAATTATAAATATAATACAATGAACATGATGCATATTTATAATATTCATATTAGAGAGCATGATTAATAACAGTTTATAAATTAATACGTGAGACTTTACCTTTATGAAAGCCTGGTAGATTTTTATTATATTTAATTCTGAGAAGGCATGTAAGGCAACTTATAGTATATTCAAGTAGTGCAATAAGACAGTGATTCCCACGCTTGGTTCTTCTCTGGAGTTTCCCTAGACATTTTATTTCTTTCTATTTTAAAGAACTACTTTCCCTTTTCTCTGGTGGAATGGATGCCAGCTCATTGATATGCCAAGAAGGGAGACCCCCCAAGGTGGTAGAGCATGACTCTGTTCTTCTCTCACCTTTCTATCCCAAGATCATACACTGCCTGTAATTAATGAGAATCTTCTTCATGAAATTAACCAAAGAACAACATTTCTTTCCTTCTTTATGAGCTGCCTTAAAAACGATCTATAAGAAATTCTCTTCAGTTAATAAGATACGAATAAATAAGAAACATGTTTGTTGACCCTTTTTTTCTACCACCACACACAAAAATACTCTTTTGCATCAGATGCAGGGGCACACACATCTCCCTGACCTGTTTCACTTCTTCTCTGAGATGGTTTTATCCAACATACTGAAAGAGTCCATAAATAAAAATTAACAACCACTGAAAGTGCATTTTCTCTTTGTCTACTTCTATTTAAATATGCCTTAACACACATGCGATATTAGTCAACATGTTAGCCTGTATAATTCCTTAAAACATATATTTTTGATATTTCAGATTATGAGACTGAAACACTCCTTGCACTAGCATTTCAAATATGCAATTCAGCGGAGATAGGTTCAAGTTAGAAGCAATTGCAATGGCAATACAGCCTTATTAAAGCTAGTAATGAATGAAGAAGTTAAGTTGATTAAAAGGTAGCATGTCAGGTAAAGGGAAATGACTTTAAATGGTGTAAACATAAGATAAAGATTTAGATTTGAGGCTACAATATTTGGGGTAATGGCAATTACATTTATCTCCTCAGATTCATTTATTATAACTATTCTAGGAATGAGAAGAGTGGTAGTAAAGAAAAATTTATGTGTATAAGATTTTGCAACCTGCTTGTTTAACTTGTACACACTAAAAAGCATCTCATGGCGAGGGTAATTCATTCTGTTACTAGGAACTATTTTCTTCTTTTCAATTTCTTTGTGCACATTTTGGAAAGTCAGTTCTGGATATTATCATTCCTCCCCAGAGACTTTGCATTTGGAAATTACAGCACAGTAGAAAAAATTCTGAACACATTCTCCATACCTTTTCCAAATTTGAGTTATCTACCTCTGTCTATTGTTAACCTCTTAGCCAGGGATCATAGATGTAAGTTTATATTCACAATTTAATTTTATCAGAAAAACCATGCCTTTCAATTCCTGCATTTAGAAATGTTCAAGTCATGAGCCTAAAAGAATCCTCTTATTTTATGAATCTATAGCATCTAGGAGAAAGTAAAGTAACAGCTATCCTAAATGTTAGGAGAAATGTCTTTACCACTTGATTGTGTTTATTTTTAGTTTATTAATGGTTTCTAATGCTCACCCTACTTAAAATAAGAAGTACCAACTCATATAAAAATATAAAAGTAAATAAAAGTCTTCTACTTTATTTGGTCTGAAAATAAGCTTCCCTCTATGCATATTTATGGTTCTTACCATATAGGTTATAAATTCAAGACAACGGCTAAATTTTCAAAGTATTTTATTTTTATTATATATTATATAAATATGTAACAGAGCCTAAATGAAGAGCCTGGGTAATGTTATTATTTTGATGTTATACTTGATACTGTGGGTATAGTGAGATGTTCAGAGGTCATAATTACTTTTCTATTTAATTTATTTGTAGTCAGATTTGACATTTGATAAGTAGACCTTGAAAGAAATTAAGAAAACTGGTAGGTTAGAAAAATAATCAATAAAAGGAGAAGTGGTTTTATTCCTAGCTTAAATTTCTAGGCTACTTGAGAAAAATTTTTGGCAAATACATTAAGGATAAATGAAGAGTAAATAAAAACAGAACTAAATCTAGAAATTAATTATAAATGTGATCCACATTTCCTACTTATTAGTCTATGTGTTGCCAAATCTGAAAAAAAAATAAAACACCTACATTTTTCTAGTTGTATAAAGTTTTCTTTTAAATGTGAAATGTCATTTTATCCTCAGAGGGGAGGTAAAAAAGATCAGAAAGAAACTTTAAAACTAGATTTCATGTCACAGGTTCAGATTTCAAACTTCTTGTGGCATTATTTATCAGTTTCTAATTTTATGAACTGACATTTTTAATGCTAATGTTTGTCAATTGCTAGCAAAATATATTATATTAGAAGACCACATTCTTAAATAAAATAAATGAAACATAAGTAATAACTTAATTTTGCTATTGGATAAGTTTTTCTTCACTTATATTTTTAAAAAAATAAGTGAAGAAAAGTATACTGAATACTGATTAGTAAAGTAGAATCTTTGTGGAAAGAATGATTGAGCAAAGAACACCTGTAAGTTATTAAATTTCAATAAAATTTAGTAAACATAAGTAAATGTACAGCTATGGGAGCATACCAACAAGCAGAGTGATGAAATATCTGACTTCCAAATCCAACTTTTAAAATCTAAGCTGTTTTAAATTAATTGGTAACAAATGCCAGAAAAGTCTTTTTCACTAGGCAACTTACATTCTTTAAACTAAATTTTAATCAAAACCTCTTACAAATTTACAAAAGTTTGAAATTCTCTTTAAAATAACCCATGTCTTCAAAGATTTTATCACATTAACTACTTGATTATAATGGCAAGAACAGGCTTTATACATTTGATGACGGTCAATTCCTTTGGTATAGTGAAAGGTTCTTTGCGAAGTATAGGTGACCCCAATTCTTTTTCCTATGAGCCCTGTCCACGTTTGCATAATGTCCTCTTCTGTGTTCCCATTGAACTTAGTTCACACATCTATAATCTCCCTTACTATATGTTTGCTATTGTGATTATCTGTTTAAACATCTCAACCCTACCCTGTACTCTGAGTGTACCTTTATCACAGACACAGTACCCTATTCAGTTGTGAATCCCTGGAGCTTAGCACTGTGTGTGGCCATACAGTAAGAATTTAGCAAAACTATGTTGAATGAATACATCAATGAAATAAGCTAAGGAAGTTCAACTACACAGGCAACCAAACTTCTTTCAAGCTGTAATTAATCGAGAGGATCATTTATAGGCACACCAGATAACTACCAAAAGCTATATAAAAATACACAACATATTTGTAGGCAGTGGTGCTGGGGACATCAGAGAGAAAGATAGAAAAATAATATTTTAAACATCTACATCTGTGGTTCTTCTAAATGGAAGCTTATTCACCCTTAGGCATTATATAAGGTTTTTCTCTTTGGCATACATAAGATTTCAGAACAAAGTCTGACACAGTTAATATTGACCTAATAGGTTCTGTAATTTGGTCTATAAAGTTAGTATAATATAAAAAAATCTGGAAATGAATGCCATCAATGGTCATGCTATATTTGTAAAATGTGGCCTTGATCATTTGATTCAAAAGTACAGTATCAAAAATACATATGTTTAGCAACATAAGTTTGCAACCTAACTGTACTACTTTGGTTTGTAGGCAATGAGGACTAGAGTAAGTCAGCAGTGATGATTCTTTGCTTTGTTCTAATATCAAATGGCATTAGATTTTGTGTTGATGAGACTTTCCAGAAGTTTTCTAGGCACTAGGAAGGTGGGTCTATTTAAGATCATGGCCCAAATGCTTATAGCACATCCTTGTTCATCAGAATTCCCTTAGCACACTTCCATAGCAGTTTAAGGTTCTGACATCAGGCTCCATATTTTAGTACTACCGCAACTATATTCTATAATTTATCGTCAATATATCCTTTATTTGGTACACATTTTACGGTTTTAAACATGAGAGATAATGCCAAATGTTCCCTAGGAAATAAAATAAAAACTGCATCAAATTATGAGGATTCAAACAAGCATATTTTGTTATTGTGATTGTACCTCGTTCTCCTTTCTGGCACTTCTTTCTTTGCACTGTACACTTTCTTGTCTCATTTGTGGGGGGGCACAGGTTACCCTTTGCTGAAGGATGCTGTATTATTTCTCTGACGCGTGTTTCAGTCCCCCTTTTGAAGCCACATGTTTTTCCTTTCTTCGTGCATGGACTCCAAGGACTCCATTCACTGGCCTCACAGTGAACTGAAACAGAGGAGCAGAAACATTCTCAGTTGGCTCACAACCACTTTCACTACTGCTAAGTAAAAGCAAACAAACAAACAAACAAAAAAGGGTTTGCGTCCATCAGAACTCGCCCACATTCTGAGCAGAAATCTTGTAGACCAAAGTTTGGCAAGATGACTCAAAGATGAAAGAAATAGCAGGGAAAGTCGGAAATGGAATGTTTTCAGTTTTTTAGTCTTCATTATCAGGGACGTTCATTTTTGTATTGAACTCACTTTTTTTCTCTAGAGTTGATTAATCCAGACACTAACATAATTGCTCATAATTGATCGATTCTTTATAATTTTCAGAGTACAGTTGCAATTATTGATTGATCCTGACCAGAACTTGATAGAATGGTTATTACGTGCTAGAGAATTGATTCTCAAACTTGAGCATGCATCAGAATCACTTGGAAGGCTTGCTGAAACAAAAAATGCTGGATCTCACCCCTGAGATTCTGATCCAGTTGTCTGGGTGGGGTAGTGAATTTGCCTTGCCAACAATACAGGTGATGTGATTTTCAGGTGTTGGGAACACTCTTTGAGAACCTCTGTGCTAGAGAACGGTTGAGCAAACAATAAATCCAGGTCTCTGGTCTACAATTCACTGCCTTTCTGACTTCATGTGCTGTTGAGCGCTTAAGTATAGATAGCTATTACTGGGTGTGGTTCAGGCACAGCATCACCTATTTTATGTGAATTCAGGGTCAATTTCAGCTGATGAGCTGCTTCTACAATTAACTTGACTATGTGGTTCCCAAGATAAACTGATGAACTTTTTCTGAAGCTTCTTTTGGAAATGTGTTTCCTTTTTTCTGTATGTATGATTTTCTTCTTCAATAATAGATGTCTTCAATTATAACAGATTTGTGCACTTCCAATGAAAAGAAACAGCTGCAAAGTGTTTTTCTTATATTATTGTACATAAAACTTCCTAACAAGCAACAACTGAAACAGCTTGCAATAAGTAATTATTTCTGATTATTTAAGACTCTCTTTCTGCAAAAATAAGGTTTCTGTAACCTCCCTTGTTGCTTTCTGATTTAATGAGTCTTTATTTTTGAGCAGAAGGCTATCTCTCATCACAGCATCAAGAAAGGTAACCAAATGTTTTAGAATATAAATCCATTTATCACACATTTTTCACAGGCCTTTACAGACACTTTTAGTTACCTGAATGCAACACAGAGTTAAATGTAAGTGATTAGATGAGTGAATTTAAGCTTCTGTGAAGATAATAAGTTTTATTGAACCACTTTCAAAATAGTTTTTTTGTTGTTATTTGTTTTTGTTTTTTGTTTTTTTTGAATTGGAGTCTCACTCGGTCACCCAGACTGGAGTGCAGTGGCTGCTCCCGGCCACCGCAGCCTCGACCTGCTGGGCTCCGGCGATCCTTCCGCCTCAGCCTTCCGAGTAGCCAGAATTACAGGCACGTGCTACCACGCCCGGCTGATTTTTTGATTTATTGTAGAGATGAGGTCTGGCTGCCCAGGCGGGTCTCGAACCCGCGGGCTCAGGCAATCCACTCACCTCAGCCTCCCAAAGGTGCGGGATTACAGGCTGAGCCACTGAGCCCGGCTCTCAAAATAGTTTTTATGCTCAGTTTGACCATTATAATTTGGTTAAAGAATAGAGCAGCCAAGTCAATTAATAATGTTGTAATGTCTTGCCCGTTATTGACATTATCTTCCGGCATCCCATTTTGACATTAACCATTAAAAGTGGAGTTTTTATCTGTGGCACATACAGATAAAAATACCTCCAAGAAAGCACATAGAAAAAGGAAAACCAACTAAAAATTGTCACTTTGTATTCATTTACTGCCAGAATTAAGGGGACTAAGAAAATAATTATCTGATGAAGAAGTGACCCGAACTTTGGTACTGTTTCATAACAGCAAAGGTAGCTTAGGCAAATGTATACTTAGACTTCAAAAAAGATAGATTTTAAAAATTACAGCATAGGTAATTATTAGTCTAAAGTTAGAAGACAAATGGTTCTAAAAATAAAATTCCAATGCCACTGTAACAGAATTCAATTGGAGGAGAGAAAATATTGAAAACTATTAAGTGTAGGTAGTAAAAAGCTCTAACGAGACAAGATGGCTAACAAACCATGAAATTCTGGAGAATAATTTTTCTGAGTGAAATACTGTAGAATGAATCTATAATGTTAGCATGCAAATAATATTTCCAGAAAAACTTTGAAAACATTGCTAAAGACAACACAAAGAAATCACTAGATAGAACTGGGACACTACTTGGCTAAGAGGTAGTTAAGAGGCTAAGTCAACAACTGCTGTGTGCCTTTTATCTTCTGTATCGAGAACAATCTTAATACTGGAAATCTGTAGCAATTCACTAATGAAGTACATGTCTCATAAAAGGTAACGAGCTTCCCATCCCTAGGAATGCTCATGCTGTGTTTGATTATTAGTCTGAGATGCTGGAAAAGGGATTCCTGAACTGAGAGGAAAGTTGAATGGGGTGTCCTACCAGGAATGACCTTACTGATCATCTTGTTCTAATTCTCATTGACTAATTGTGTGGTTACACAGAAAACATAGCAAGGGGACGTCCCATCGCTGTATAGGGTGGAGTGCGTCATCTTCTCTGACTACCCCAACAAGTCCAGCTTTCCAAGAGACGCCATGAGTATGACAAAATGGGAGTGCAGAAAGAAAGCATATGCCTGGAGCGCAAAGTGGAAAGGACATGTTATCCCATAAAATCGTGTTTAGTGGATACTTCTGTTTAATTTGACCTGGAAACCATGGGGAGTGGATATGTTGTGGTATACTTCTTTCACCCCAGCTCTCTATAAGAGTAGCGTTTTCCTCTGTTTATGACCTTTCTTCTCCATTTAAAATCTAGGTAGGAAACAAGAAATGTGGTGTAGCCAGGCTCGGTGGCTCAGCCTGTCATCCTGCGCCTTTGGGAGGCTGAGGTGAGTGGATTGCCTGAGCCCGCGGGTTCGAGACCCGCCTGGGCAGTGAGACTCCAACTCAAAAAAAAAGAAATGTGGTGTAGATTTTAGCAAAGAGAAATACACAATTCTTTCTTTTGGGTGAGTGGTGAGGAGCTGAAGTCAAGGTACTCACTATAGCACCGACAATGACTCACAATGTTTCCTTAAGGTTACTGTTTAGGTTCTCTGGATCCTACTTCTCATATTTGTTAAGGTAACAGGTTTTAACATTGCTTCGTGATAAAGAAGCAGGTCATCATTTTCCCTGAACTCCTGGGGTGAACCTACAGGCGTGACAGATGTAGTGTCTGTAGGCCAGCCACCATCTGATGAGAGGTATTTTATATGGTGCTAATGACATGAGCCAGTCTGAACAACAGTTGTGATATGTGCCATCACTGTGTTAGAAGGTCATTTGTACCTATGTAGTAAGTCAGAGTCAGAAAATGGCCTTTGGATTGCGAATCTATATTCGAAAACACATAAATTTCTTAAATTTAATTTTGTTAAGAAATAGTCTTAGTCTTACTAGTTGAATAAATTACCAGTAAGCTTTAAAGGCTAATCCCACAGTGCCAAGTGATAAATGCTCTTCCCGATAGAAAAGCACTGATACTTTTTGAAGACTGAATGCCACACTCTAAATATGTGTCCCTTTTTTTCTGGGTAGAGAAATTCCACAGAAATTTCTTTCTGTAACTCATCGTGAACTTCTGTCTTTGAATATTCCATTCCACAAAAGTGTTTCCTATTTTTTCCACTGTTTGGAACTTATTACCACTAATCATCAGCCCTCAGGACCTATAAGGAGAGGAACTTGAAGTGCTTTCTCATGTACCTTTTACTCTATTCCTGAGTTTGTTTTTTTTTTCCTGTGTTTTTATGACAAGAAAAAAAAAAATCTTAACCAAAATGAGCCATGAACTGTTTCAGGACTGTTTTCCAGATGCTTCTGAAATTATCTTTAAAACATCATCTATTTATTTCATAGTGCCAAAACGTCGTTTAGTAGTAAAAGTTCTGCAGTGGACTTGAAGTGGTTAAACCACCACTTCAGAGTTATTACTCCAGTATTTTAGATTCTAATGGACTCGTGATGTGGGAACTTCAGGGGAGTCCTGGAGATTTTTTGCACTGAATCAGGAGGGCATTTGTGTGCATATGCCAACATCATTGCAGCATCCAACGTTCTTGTAGTTCTTGCCCAGGGGATCTTGAGATTTGGTGGGCTGTTTTCCCATTTGGCTTAGCATCTGCTCCCCAAGTGTTCATCAAAGTTGTAGCTGAAGTAGCTGCACAGCGTTTAAAAGAGCGAAAATGTAGCCTGACAGTGATCCGTTACTTAGGCAAACAATTTGTCTGAAGTACCTCCCCTCCAGGAAACCCAGCCTGCAATTAATCAGACCCTGGGATTGTCTCATTCTGTCGGTTTGAGTAAGTCCACGATCCTCTTTCTTATTTCTGAATACCTATGTAAGTAGAACATTTCAGCAAAGCAGTGTGAAAAGAAATGAGATTTTTAAACTATATCAATTCCAATTCTTCAGGTCTTTGATCCATCCACTGACCATCAATGGGCTGTGTCAAGAGAAAACATCCCCTCCCCACTTGGAAAATAACTTTGGTCATTGGTTGAGATGAAACCCAGGTGTTTTGTGAAGCTCTTACCACATGGCAAAAATTGAGTGCAAGGTATCAACTCTCTCTCTCTCATTCTATATATATGCCATATAAAATACATAGCATAGATAATATATAGAATAGATATTATGCTATAAGTAAAACTTCATTAAATCATTATGCAAAATAAATCTCTAAGGATCAAAATAATTAAAACAATTTCAACAGTCTCTAAGAAACGATGGAGTACACTGGTGTTAAATGTATTAAATAATATACTTTAAATAATAATGCCAAATAAATCTCTAAGGATCAAAATAGTCGAAACGATTTTAACAGTATCTAAGAAATGAAGGAACACCCACTGGTGTTACATTGTACTGTGTTACATGCTGGGTAAGGCTATGGGAACGCCTTTAAAATAGCATCTTTGTAAAGAAGGACAGAGATAGCCTCTAAGAGGCAGTCTTTCGGGTTCTCACGAAATAAGACTTTGAGAAGCACTTCTGTGGAGACTGACTTTATCATCTATTTAAATTCTTAGAGGTTCGCCTTACCGATACTGACACACTCCATAGTATGGTTGTTGGCTTCCAACCCTTCTGGGCAATTGTCAAGGCACTTTCCAAGATGTAAGTAAAATCCACTTTTACACTTTGTGCAGAAATTTTTGTTGAAACAGGTATCACAGTCAGCTTTGCATTCTGAAAGAGAGAGAGAGAGAGAGAGAGAGAAAGAGAAGTAGACTTTCATTATCTTCTCTTAACTATTGATGACCCAGTTCCGCATGTGTCCAACAAAGGCACATGCAATTTTTGTGTCAAACAAACACCTGGGGTTCAAAATCATTTTGACAAACTGAATTAAGGATTCCTTCACAATCATCTAGTTGGTATACATTGGTTATTGATTTTAAAATAATTGTACTGATTGCCCTATGAAAATTTTGGGGGATATATAGCCAAGAATGTCTATAAGACCTAGTATCTAAATGATAGTGAAAATATGTCATGAAAACGTTAATAAAATTTACTGAGATACTGCCTTTCTGTTGTTATTGAGGGCTATCCATTCATTCAACTAATATTTGGTTGCTCACTTATTTGTCAACCAATACCTAGACTAATATTCCAGGCATTAGTCTAGGTATTGGTTGACAAATAAGAACCAGTCTTCACAAAGTTTACATTCTAGAAGAGGACACACAATAAGCAATAACAATAGTTGAACATTACATGATGACTACTGTAAGACAGGATTGCTACCAGTATTTTACAATATGAAGACATTTAAAATTTACAACAACCCAATGAAGTAGTCACTATTATTTCCATTTTACAGATAAGGAAACTGAGACTCACAAATATTATGTAACTAACTCAGAACCACAGAGCAGATTGATTTCTGAAGCCAGTCATCTGGTTTCAGAGTAAAACGTGCGATACGTGCTTTGGAAAAAACAACAAAAGGGAGAAAAAAGGGCTGAAGAATGACTGGTAAGGGGCAAGTCTGATGATACTGAATAAGATGGTCAAGGAATGGCTCTCTAAGAAGGTGACATATGAGCAGAATCTTCAATGACAAGAGACAGCCAGTCATGCAAAGGTGCGGACAGAGAACTCTCTGGAGTGTCAGAACAGCTGGTATAGAACAATAATTGCAAAGGCTTGAGGTGGGACAATCCTGTAGGGAGGCCAATGAGGCTGGTGTAGAATGATCAAGGAGGGGAGCCGTAGAAGATGACTTCGGAGAGATGGGCAGAGCTACATGTGATATTTAGGTAGAGGAGTGCTGTTTCCCAACTTATGATTTTGAAAGGTCCTTTAGTCTACAGTGTGGAGAGCAGACTGTCAGGGTTCAGATGAGAGCGCTTCCGACATTTATTTCCAATTAGTAAATAGACGTTTCAGTTACTATACTGGTATCTTCCTTAAGCAAAATAGCTGAAGTGATTCTTCCAGTTATAAACACTTGCATTTTGTGAAGGCAATGGGAAATAAGATGGAATTGAGGCTTGCAGTACTTTTCTATAGGTTCATGTTCTCGGCCTTTGCTTTTACAGTTAAAAAACAAAACAGAACAAAACTTGAGCGCATTTTTTTTTTCTAAGTTAGTGGTAAAATTTTTCCTGTCCTAAGTCTAAGTATGATGAGCTTAATTATCAGATAAATATTATTTACCTAACATCAAATATCACAAGTATATTGGAGGCCATTTCAATCTGGAAAAGTAGCCAAGCATGAGATAAAAATACAGCTTTGTGTAGGCACTTACTTGTACACTTATTTATATCTGGATATCGAGTTCCATAATATCCACTTGGACATGAAGAGAGACATACTCCGATCTGCTTCATGCCAATCCTTTCCAGAACAAAAAAGAGTCTGGGCTTACATGACAAACATCCATTGTAATCTGAACACGTTGCACAGCCTCCCTGGCAGCCTTGACTGACGTTAGGATGCACTGGGGAGACAAATGTAGAAAGACAAAACAAAGGTTAAACCATAGATGCAGATGTTAAATGACATTTTCTGGGGGGGATGAACATTTTCTTTCATTAACTTTCAATTTGGCAGTAATGGGTAAATGAGGTGAAATTTTTTTCCTGTCCTTTTTTTTTTTTGTAATCTCTTATTTTCCTGTAGCACACTTATTCTCTTTAATTTTAAAGTTCTTAAAATTTGAGCATTTGAAAAATAAGAATAATTTACCTCAAAGAATTCAAATATCCTCACTGAACTAGCACCAGGGAAGATCGGAGACTGGTGAATTAGTGTTTTTACACATTAAAATGAAAATACATTAGTTTTGCTTTTCATGTATGTAGTGAATGATAAGCACGTCTCTAATTTCTTCAGTAAGTAAAATAACACACTGGGGCTGGATTTGAGTAAGAACACTAAGTTCTATACTATCCCCTTTCAACTATGATCTATTAGAGAATACAATAAAGCAAAGTGATTCTGAAACGATGTTAGTTATTCGGCACCTCCCCCACCAATGCTTTCCTGAGATCTTTTTTCTCACATGAGTTTAATAATTACCAGTTCAAATTGATATAATGGTGAAAATGTGATATTGATCTCACCGGTATTTCCGTGTGAATCACATGGGACACTTTGTTGTAACTTATATCCAATATTTTCTCTTTGAGGGGGGAAGTCTTATAGTTTCTGTTGCCCTTATCTTCCTCAAATAACATCTGAGGTTACTTCCTTAAGTGAAATGTATTTTTGGTGAGGCTAGACCTGGCTACTGTAAGGATCACCGCTGCTTATGTTCCAGAGTTTTCAAGAATCAACAACAAGAGAGGTAAGAGTGCTCATCAGCAAGTCCAGACAAATATAAATTTTGGGGATTCAAGTTTACTGGAGATCTTCACAACTCTAACCCTTCTTCTGACTATTAACCAGTCGTTATCTCCTGTGTATGAAGTGGTAGGAATGGTTGACCGAATTACTGAATAAGGAACATCTCTCCTATAGCTGGTGTTTGGGATAATTTCCTCTTCTAATATAGTCTCTGTCAAATATAACGCTAATAGATTTGTCATTCTTTCAGGATGCCAGAGAGAAAAATCATAATTCTTTGAGAAGCCAAGATTGATGCATAGGAGTCTAAAGCCACTCCAGTCTTTTCTGACTTCTTTTGCTTTAATGAAGTGATAGGTTCTGATGGACCTGGTCATTATTAAACCTGTCTTTACCATGAGGTTTGATTCTTACTAAGTTCTTTACCACAAAAACAAATCCCTCCAAGCTCAGTTAGGAGGGGTACCCAGAAGACTAAACAGCCTTACCACAAGGGTGCCCGGGTTAGCTTCAGAGAGGTCATTTGGTTGACCAGCATCCTCTGCCTGTAGAAAACCATCCTTGAATCAGCCACAGGAACCACAAACAGCTCATTCTCATTCCAAGACATTTTGTAAATAAACTGAGGAAATGTGTGGGGGAAGGGAAGTCTGCTTTTCCTGTGCATGTTCCACTGTGGGGTGGGGCAGTCGTATAAAGTAGCACAGGAGGTTTAGACATTATAGGGCCTGTGGGACTTGTGAGTGAAAACTGCTTTCCAAGTAACAGGGTCATTTTTCATGCCAGGAACTCAGCATTGGAGACTTACAGAAAATGTGAACATATTTTAAGCTTGGAGAGACCCTAGAAAGGAAATAGGGTGAGAGAGTTCCACGTGTTCAGAATCCATCATTATTTGCTTCAAGAAGTGAGAGGTGCAGGCAAAAACCTGTAAAACCTTTCCACGAGAATTGCCTGTGGAAAAGTGGACCTCAATTGGATAGAAAATCTCTCCAAGTTCAGGGCACTAAGGGACTCTGAGTTTAATGAAGACAGATCATATCGGTTTGTGTCGATCTATCCCTACCTCCAAAATGCAGCCGCTGAAAGAAAACACAAAACTGTAGTTTTGTGTACCCTGAAACTTTTATTAATAATTATATAACTTTATTTGTTCTTATTTTTTCCTTCGGATGGTAAAATATTAAAATAATGATCTAACTTTAAATAGATCAGTTATTAATATAAACATGAACTACATATTCAGAGTCTCAAAAACTGATGTTTTTTAAGATAAATTCCATTTAAAAAATTAGGTTTGGGATGTTTGAAAGCTCCAGGAAAGAACCGATCTCATGACTGGTAACAGTATCCATTGAAATTATGAGATGTGCCAAAATACCTTGTCTAATTCCCTCTTTCTCTAAAACTTTTGCTGATGAAATGTAGCACTCAAAATGACAATAATTCTTTTGGTTTTTTAATTTTATATTTTGCCTTTTTAGACAAAGGTTTTTGAAACTTAGATTTTTGAAAAGGTAAGAAAGACCCAGTTCCAACTTGCAATAAGTTTTTGTTTGTTTTTAATCAGTACATTTTGAGTATGGGCGATGAATTTTGAATATGGAATGACAGCAAAGTTTATTTCTTCAGAAAGTTTAAATGCTGGTTGTGTGGAGTGAGAGAAATTGAGACTATGAAGCTCAGATTCTGTGATTCTAGATTTTTTTTATGGTTGAGTAGTATGGTGACTGCTTTCTTGAATGCTGTATAAGGATCACTCAAATAATACAGTCAGTATTACACAACTAGATACATATTTCCCAAACTTCATCTTCAGACAAGAGCTTTTACTTTTTATATGGAAACCACAACAAACTTTGGTCTAGATTAACTGTAACAACACTTTCAGTCACAAAATCTTGTGTTCCTAAGACAAAAAATAGAATTTTACTTTCTCATGCTTCTTTTCTTTTTGCCCATTCATTTTTAAATCAACTTTTTCCAAACAATATTTTCCTACTATTATTTTATATGAGTGATGGAGATGTTGGTGGTAGAAAGGTAGGTAGTGGAGGTTTCAAATAAGTTGAAGACTGGGTGCATTGTCTCACATCTGTAATTCCAGCACTCTGGGAGGTCAAAGCAGGAGGTGGGAGGATCGCTTGAGCCCAGGAGTTCGAAACCAGCCTGGGCAACATAGTGAGTATATTTCTTTTTCTAAGTTAGTGAAAATTTTCCTGTCCTGAGGGCTAAGTCTAAATATGGTTAGTTTAATTACCAGATAAATGTCATTATTTACCTAACATCAAATATCACAAGTATATTAGAGGCCATTTCAATCTGGAAAAGTAGCCAAGTATGAGATAAAAATACAATTTCGTGTAGGCACTTGTACACTCATTCATTCAAAGGTTAGACTCTAAATCTTTGATACTGGTACCTATCTCTTTATATATAGGTAAACTTTAGATGTGTAATGAGGTAGATATGATTGGAAAAATGGACAGAATTCATGGGAGCTTTAAAGTGGAATCTTCTGTTACCAAAGTGCTGCATACACAGTACTGTTAGTGTCTTCCATTAAAATTAAGAAAGAGGGAAATATCTTTTCTTGTTTAGGTATGTGAAAACAGTAAATATTACTGCATGACTGAAACCTATTTGCAATGTCTAAACTGTCAACATTCCCTGAGTAAGGGACTTCAGTTTCTCTACCTATTAAACAAGGCTTCCTACTATCCCTGTATTTGACAGACTTCAACTTGTGATACATACCTGATGCAACCATTCCTAAGAGACTTGCTATGTATCATGAGAGTTAATTCAACTTTGATAACATATCCAGAACATAGAGCTTTAAATGGAACGAAAGCAGCTGGTAAATGTACGCATTTAGCTACTTATTTTTAAATTTTATGATCTATTAAACCAATTACAGTATTGGAAATTAAGTTCTGTTTCTCTAACAATTTAAGAAAAAGCTTCAAGAACTTGCCTTACCTTAACCCCTTCTAAAGCTCAATTACAAATGGGCTGACATTGATTGTGAGTTGCTATATGAAAGAAATCTGTAAGAAAGTAATTGATGCTACCAATTACCTCAGATGGTTATTTATTTGTGGCTAGACAATTTCCGGAAATATGAAATATGAAGACTTTATATTGGTGAAACAGGGCTGGCTGAGTTCAAAGAAAGTAGCAAATACATGACAGTAACTAATTGCTTTTATAATTCAATTAAAAATTAATACATTCACAAATTTGATAAAAGTTCTTTTTAATCAAAAACCTTATACAGAGTCTCCCTAAAGCATTTTTGTCTTCACAACATTCACTTTTTTCTCTTCTGAATGCAGTGGACTTAAGAGACAGGGTAGAGAGAGGAGACCAATGGACTTCCATAATCAAAGTTATTTCTACTCTATCCTTTCCTCTGTGCCTTCTTTTTTCACAAGTATGTTCATGTTGACTGTGTGTTTCTTGAGGAAAGGGGTCTGTGAGTTTGAAAATTTATTGATTTTTTTGGATAATTCTCAGCTTCTACAAAAGGTGGCTATTTGTTGTACAGGTTCTCAATAAAGTATTTTTTGATTATTGAATGAAAGAGGGCAACATGATTATAAAAGATAAGTTATTTATTTGTGTCTTTTTAAAGAATAAAGATGTTAAAGCAGTAAATATTTAACAGAAAATGTCTATTATGATTTTAAGTGGTCTGTGCCTACGAATATCTGGTAATCAGGGAACAATTTCCAGATTATATATCCTTTGACTGCTTAATTATGAAATAAATCATTTAAGTTGAAAAAAATAAAAGCTTTTATAGGGGTCATTTACTTTGGCAATCCATTTTCCCGGAGATAATGTCAAGTATTTTTTTCTTGTCTAATTTAGGACAACACATTTCTATCATATCTTGGGACTTGATTGTTGCAGAGTCATATTTAAGTTTTGAGTGACATTATGATTGCCGAAAATTAAGATGTTCATAGGTCTTCTGGAATGCTTGCCAATGCTTACTTTACAATGTGAAAAGTTTGAGTTATTTTGCAAGTCTCTTTTAAATTCTGTCGAGCCAATTCAAGAAAATATTTAGAGTCATTGTTTCTTATTTGTTCGTAAGTTAAAGCTTCCAAAGCAGAATTGACATTTGTTAGGTCTCTGCGACCATTTAGGCAATTTTAGAAAGTTAGGTATAGATGGCAAAATATGTAGAAAAACTTTTTTGAATAAACACAATTGCTTCTCTGAATTCAATACTCTTTTGCATTCTCAAATTATGATATCTGGATGAATAGAGGTCTATTCATAGTCTTCCATCATTATTTTTGATTAACATATTAATTAATTATTAATGATAATAGTAATCATTACTAGTAATCATTACTAATATAAATTAATATTAACACTTTGTTGAAAGAGCTACATGTTTCTATGTCCAAGTATATATAGATATTGCTATTTAAAAATAGTGGTTATCATTTGATAATTTTAATGTTTTAGTATATCAATGTTTTAATTGTTAAATGATTAAAATTTATCTATGCTATTTAAATATATGTATTTAAATATGTGTTGTACTTGTGTATCCATATGTATGTATACATACATAGACACATGCATCCATGCATGTCCATGTATGCATACACACGCCATGCATAAATTCTATTTGGTCTTTTATGAAAGTCAATAGGTAAGATCGGCAGTAGTGAGAATCTGCCTGGGGATGGGGCCGGGGTTGGGGGGCACATCTCATCAATAAGGGTACCTGCATAGTGAGTATTTGTATACCTAACCCTGAATTGTATCCCACATCTTTAAAATAAAAAATTTAAGAGTTAAAAAAAGAAAGAAAGATAAACACAAATTTAGAAAAAAAGTCAATAGCACAGCCATTAATTAAAGTGTAACAGCAAGGATAATATAATCTACTGTATCTTTTGTCCCACTGAATTAACCTTTAATTTGAAAGTGTGTGCTTACACCAGTGGGTTCACAGAATTTCTGCCAATCTTAGAGAGGAATGTGTTCACCAGCTGCTAAATACTGCCATGATTATTATGTGGGGAAACATACTGTTTTTAATGGAAATGATTTCTTTGAGAACTTGGAAAAACCTTTCTTTTTCTCCTACTGAATAATAATTTACTGATGGGAGTCTAATACTTACATTCTATAAATACTTTAAAATAAACCACAGCAATGAAATAAACCTAACATTAAACAGCAATTAGCTAGGCTTTCCACTAAAATCAAGTCAGCTAAAAATATTAAGGAAATGGCTAGCAAATGATGGCAACTGTAAAACTCTTGAAATCTAAAATATGATGAATATTTGGGCACTAGATGCCAACTTCGTGGACCAGGGCTATGCTTTGTCTAACCACATGATGTA